TATTTGTCATAAAGGAATTCATTGAAAATGAATCTCTACCATCTATTCATTTTAGTCAAATTCAATGAAGATGAATATCTACTAACTGTTATAAATATAATCTCTAAAAATTCCCTTATATTATAATGGTATTTCAGATTCTCCGCTAACATAATATATACTACAAGTCTAGTCAAATATATCCAAATTAAGTCACCATGATCTAGTCTTAGCTTTTCTTCATTCTTTGCACTCCAACCCAAATGAAATTTAAACAAGCACTTTATATCACATTCAAATATATTGTCCTAAAATTTCCAAGTGGTTTTATGCCCTATATCCTCCATCATAAAAAATCATAGATCCAAGTTCTTAAGGAGAGCTTTAGGGTTGGCCATGACCTAACTCCTTGTCTAACTTTATTATTCTAACCACTCAAAAGCATCCCACACCCTTGGACTCCACCACAGTAAATGGAAGCCTCATATCACCATTCCTAAGGCTACATCAATATGAGCAAGTATGATTAATTTGAAAGCATTTTATCCTTAATATGGAATTTCCCTTCTAAATTTTCATTGTAATATGATGGAATTAGACCTTCAAAACCTCAAAATTGCCATTTTCCTTAGATTAGAAGGCCAAAGTGCTAGAATTCAACATCATAGCGCCAATAGAAGAAAATCCAAACTTCACATTTCCACTTCCTCAACCCAAATCTTCAAACATTTTAAGCCTCAACCAACTTAATAACACTTATAATTTCTGATTATATTTTAAAAATATATTTTCTAATACTAATTACTTGACTTCTGAATGAAGATTATTACATGTTGGTTAAGAATTTCTATCAAAATGGCTTTGGTGCTTTTAGGGCCATAAGCAGTATTTAAGCACATGATATTCTCTTTCAAACAACTTTATATTTCTTGGAAATCATAGAAGTATGAAATTGATATTAGATAAGTTACTTTTGTATTATTTTCATGATTCCAAGCTTTTGTTAATGATTTACAGTATTTTTAAAATCAACTTACAATATTTATTCAATCACTACACCCTAAAAAAAGTAATTTAAACCCTTTCTCGAAGCAATAGGCCAAATTAATGTTCCTCTTTACCTAGGCTCTTCCTCCTCCATCTCCTTAAGGATCTTGAATCTCTACGATCTATTATAAATCTAATTTATACAAATTCCCTTATATTATAAAGCTATTCAGACCCTCCACTAACATAATACTATAAGTCTAGTTAAATATATAAAAATTAGGTCACCATGGTCTAGTCTTAGCTTTTACTCATTCTTTGTGCTACAACTCAATTGAAATTTAAACAAACACCTCATGTCATATTTAAATATATTATCCTAATATTTCCAAGTGGTTTTACGTCTTATATCCTCCACCTTAGATCCAAATTTTTAAGGAGAGCTTTAGGGTTGGTCATGACCTAACTCCTTGGCCGACTTTATCATTCTAACCACTCAAATGTGTCCCACATCCTTGGACTCCCAGCACACTAAGTGGAAGCCTAAGATCACCCTTCCAAAGGCTACATCAACAAGGAGCAAGGATGATTTGAAAGCATATATATATCACAAGTTTGAGCATTTTTCTTTGAGTAATTCTTTGTACAAGAGTTACTTTACTATAACTTTATTTCAAAAACAAGTTCTAACAAATTTTAAGTTGAACTCAACAACTTGAGAAAATAGTATCTAATATTTTTTTAATTATTTTTTATCTTATAAGTTAATATTATTTGGCAAGTTATTGCAAATATACTTTTTTTTATTCAACTTTTTAAGTCAACCGATTTCAAAGATTTCTGTTATAAAGATTTTTATTAAGAATTAAGGGTCACATAAAAATCTTTGATAGTTTATGGATAAATATCTAGCCCTAGAAAACAGGCTATCCTCTTTTTATGAGACATTCTCATTTAGGGTAAATGAAGTCCTTTTTAGGGATGACCAAGATGGTTAGTCATTGAAAACAAAAGCTTTGACCTAAGGTCCACAGTCGGGTTCCCGCTGAAGTCAAGGTGGGCAAATGCCCTCCCAAAATATACTCTCTCTCTCTCTCTCTCTCTCTCTCTCTATATATATATATATATATATATATATATGTTAGAGGGGGTGTTTATGGTATTCTCCCCCTCAAATATTCTTTTTATCCTAATTTCATCAATCAATCCTAAGCATGCTTGTCCATCATGCAAGTTCACACTTCACAACCACTTTCGTGAATCTCTTCTTCCAAGACGCATTTGACGTTCAAGAGGTCGCCGCCTTCGTCTTAACAGCCCTCTTTTTCTCAATCGCATTCGACATTCAGGAAGCCGCTCTCAATTCACACTTCATAGCCTTCTTGAAAGTCGCAAGATTTGTCTTCAGCTCTTCGCAGTCGGAGCCTACGGCCCGAAGCTCGTTTAAAGAGGTCTCCATTCTCGTAGGGCGCAACCTTCATCTTCGCAAAATCAGTCACAAACTTTGACACTCGTTCTCGTATTGAAGGTAATATTTATTTAAAGATTAATCTTGTTTTTTTGGTGCCTCCATACTACTCTGCTTGCTCTATTTCTTGCTTCTCTTTTTTCCTTATATGCATATTGAAAAAAATTCTATTATACCACCATTTGTTCACTCTTAAAGCACTCTTGATCTTGTATCTCTTAAACATCAGTTATCTTCTTATATTATTGATATGCATACTAACGATAAGTTTACATCTTTGACTAACATTGCTGATCTTGCAAAAAAGATTGTAAAGACAAAAAAAAAATTGTGCATCCCCTGGTTTATAGACTTATTGTTTTGACACTAACTTTATCAGTTGCTACTGCTACGGTGGAAAGAGCATTTTTTGAAATGAAGATTATTAAGCATCGGCTACGTAGAAAAATGAGTGATGCCTGTCTCAATGAGTATCCAGTGCCATTTATTGAGAAAGAATTATTTGATTATGTTTCGAATGAAGTCATTATGACACATTATCAGAAAATATAAAGTAAAATGCAAAGTTTGTAATTTTATTTTTTATTTCATAAATTATAATTAAATATAAAGATTTATTTAATTTTTTGTATTTAAATTTTTATATATTGAGTTTGTCCACCCTAAAAGAAAAGGCTGGATCCACTCCTGCTAAGGTGAGATCCATCTTAGGCAATGACTTGTTGAAATATGCACAAAAGATGAGGGAAGAATAAGACTTGAAGGTTCTTTAAGAGTATTTTCAAACTCATCAACTTTCTCACTACTTTATAAATCAATTTTATACTACAAAAATTTTTGTACTAGAAAACCGCTTTAGAAAACAGTCCCAAACAAAACCTAAATCTTCGAACTTTTTTAGTTGGAAAATAAATCTCATTCTCATCTCGTGGAGTAACTAAAGCAAAACTATGTGCCTCAGGGATTTGATCTTAAAAACTTATTATAATTTCTTCTCGCAATCTAATAAAGATAATAAGCAACGACATAACGTTGGTTTGATTGGTTTCTCCATTTTATAAAAGAGAGTAAAAAATTACCCAAACGGCCAAACTGTTGAAAGTAGTCTCGAACTTTTGTACAAGAAAGCTAGCCGCTGCCCATATTCATTGTCGGCTATCATTCACCACTGATGTATTCGTAGCTAGCCGCTGCCCACCACCCAATTGTCGTAGCCCCTCACAGTCACCTGCCATCGCCACCGGTCAATACCATCATTGAGCTTTACACTAAAAATCATAATAATAATCACATACAATTATTTTACCCTCGTCAAAATAACTTCAAGAGCATCAAATACACCATTAAATTATGTATTCCATTTTGAGCAAATCAAACCATCATTTACTTCTATATATAAAAAAAAATCTTTAACATTATATTATAATTCCAATTTCAATAGAAACCAATTGAAACTCATTTTATATTTTCAATTTTAATTAATTTAAAAATTCCAACTTGAATTAGAGAGTTTACAGATATATTTTCTCAACAAACTAAAGAGTTTCAATGAAGCATGTGATAAAACTGAAGAGCTTCACCCAAATTCATAGATTTTGAAGGAAACTTCCTTTAAATATTTAATAATTCACCACCACTTTGTTTGGGAACTTTAAATTTTTTCTTCTAAAAAATGCTAAATAATACAGCAGTGATTAAAATAAAAATCAAAATTGAGTTTTTCTACCAACAAACTATCAAAATTAATAAACAAATATCAAAATAATAAAACAAGATTAGCTTTAATTAGATTTAGATTTTGTTTGGGACGACTTTCTTCTTGCTTTCTAAAACAGCTTTCTAGTACAAAAATTTCTTGAATTTAAAATTTTGTACAAAAAAGGCGTTTGAAAAGTAGTACAAAAGCTGTTCCAAATGAAGCCTTAGTTAATGAAAATGAGAGGGAATTTTTTAACTTAGCAAATTAGATTTAGGCTTCATTTAGGACAACTTTATTACTATTTTCTAAATCAACTTTTTGAATAAAAATTTTGAGTTCAAAAAATTTTTATATTAAAAAACTGTTTTAGAAAGCAGTAAAAAAGCTGTCTCAAACAAAGCCTTAATCGCCATGCACGTGAATGGTGACTTGCCTACCACGCAGGCATGTCCTCGTCCACGTGGCCACATTGTTATTTATTTATTTATTTTTTGTTTGGTGCCATAACTAAGGTTTTTTTTGGGATAGCTTTTTTGCTGCTCTGTTTTTAAGATCGTAACCATAATTTCGATCCGTTCATTATTTTTTCTCAGCTTCCAAAAAAATTATGTACTAGAAAATTACTTTCTATAAAAATTTTAAAAAGTCATATTTTCTATAATAATTTTACAAAACAATAATAAAGCTGTCTCAAACGGATCTGATTTGCTAATTTAAAATGTTTCCGAATTTTTCATTAATTAAGTTTAAAACTAATCTAATTTTAAAAATTTTTCCTGAAAGGAACTCGCTGATTTAAGAATCTATATTCCTCTCTCTATAAATATCACATTTTCTCCTCACATTTCCTTCAAGCCTCTGGCACTTACCATTTCAAACTGAGCCATGGGTGGGAGCTCCAACAGAGTAAACAGCTTCAAAGATATCCCAGATCTCGAAGACTCTCTTCCAATCTCTGGCCAAACTATGGAACCTTTACAGATTCACAAGGTCTCTTTCCCACAGTGCAAGAAGACACTCCAGACCTTGAAGAAGGAACTAGGAGAGGTCTTCTTCCCAGATGACCCTCTACATCAGTTCAAGAACCAGTCATTTCTAAGAAAACTAGCTCTTGCGCTTCAATACATTTTTCCAATTTTTCAATGGGGTTCTGAGTACAATCTTCAGCTTTTGAAGTCTGATGCAATCTCAGGACTGACTATTGCAAGCTTGGCAATACCCCAGGTGAGCCCATCACTGTGGTTTTTCTGCATTTTGATGATGTGCAGAATGTTTAAACCAAAATTATATTTTTCAGTTTCAGTAATTTTGATTAAACTCTTAGTAAAATTGATTTATAAATCATTATTACTTCTTTTTGGCCAGTTTCAAGAGCTTGGGGTGATAAAATTTGAGAGGAAATTCATTAGATTTGAATTAGAAATTCACTTTTAAATAATTATCTTTGTTATATATCTTGAATAACTTTTCAAAGTATTTTATAATAAACTGGTTAAAGAATTGAATGTTGAAACTCACCAAACTGAACCTCCCTGCTATGAAGAAACCTTGAGCTCAATAAAATTAATGGCGGAAACTTTATTTCTTCTGCAGGGAATAAGCTATGCTAAGCTTGCAAATCTACCACCCATTATAGGTTTATGTGAGTAATTGACTGAACTCTTTTTAACAGTCCAGCATGTTTGGCTATCACAAGAAAATTTCAAATAATCTTTAGTTTTGTTCATGCAGATTCAAGTTTTGTGCCACCATTGATTTATTCAGTCCTTGGGAGCTCAAGAGATCTCGCTGTCGGGCCTGTTTCTATTGCATCTTTGGTAATGGGATCTATGCTGAGAGAGGCTGTTTCTCCTGATAAAGAACCCACCATGTATCTCCAGCTAGCCTTTACTGCCACCTTCTTTGCTGGTGTATTCCAAGCTTCATTAGGCTTCCTCAGGTAAAAGTTTCTCTTTCAAATTTTCTTTTCAGTTCTATTAAATCACCTAAATTTTCTGTTTATATGAAATCTGGAGAGGAGTTGATGTTTATAATCTTATCCCAACATTTAGTGGAGACTATTTCTTCACCACCTAACTAATGATCTTTAAAAGATTATGATGATATATAATTTCCTCTTGCTGTTTGAGGAAAGAATCATTCATTCTTACTTATTTCTGCTCCATAGATTCATAGAAAGCATTATATTAACTAAAATATGTAATGCTACATAAAACAACTAATAGTGATTGTAATCTTTTGTAATCAACAATATATGACTAAGATTTTGTTTGGGTCAGCTTTCTTTTCTGCTTCCGAAAGAAGCTTTTTAGTAAAAAATTAAATTTTTTAACTAGAAAGCTGATTTAAGAAGCAGAAAGAAAGCCGTTCAAACGAAGCCTAAGTTAATATTTAAGATTTGTTTTAATATTTAAATATCCTAACAAATTAAACTACTGAGATCTGTCAATAACATTAACAAGCCACAACAGATGTGATTAAGAGTGGCTCTTAATTATTACCAATATTGGTTGTAGGTTGGGTTTTATTGTTGATTTCTTATCGAAACCGACGCTAATTGGGTTCATGGGAGGAGCGGCGATCATTGTATCATTGCAGCAGCTCAAAGGATTGCTTGGAATTGTTCACTTCACAACTAAGATGGGATTTGTACCAGTCATGCTATCAGTTTTCAAGCACAGAACAGAGGTTATGTTCTTATAAGCCCAAATACCTAAAACCTTAAACATTAGTATTGTTTACAGATGATAAAGGCATATGGAATATTTTTGCTGATATGAGTTGCTTGAAATGTGCTGTGCAGTGGGCTTGGCAGACTGTTATCTTGGGCTTCTGTTTCCTGTGTTTCCTACTGATAACAAGGCATATTGTAAGCTTCCTATTTCTCAATTATAACATGTATGTTAATATAGAATATGCTCATTAAGAATAATATAATCAGAATATAATAGCTTTTTTGAAAGTGATTAATGAAGTGGGTCATGACTGCTTGCCACTTAGAATTTTACCTGTCAAAATGTCCTTTCTGTGTGAGCGCGCTGTGGCCTAAGCTATGTGGCTATTGGCTAATGGCTTCCTAAAATGCTTAGAAACTAAGCGAAATGGTAATCGTTGATGCAAAGTTAGCTGCAGAATCGATGAAAGTCAGCAATTTAGCACCTAATTTATGTTGTTTGGGTTATATTCTGCAAAAGGCTTTTTAAGTAAACGAAATATGATGCAGGGCTTGAGGAGGCCTAAGCTTTTCTGGGTATCAGCAGCAGCACCTTTGACCTCTGTGATCCTATCAACCATCATTGTTTTTGTGCTCAAAGGTCACAGCCATGGCATCCAAACTGTGAGTAAACTTAATAGCTCAAGTCTCTACTGTGTGTGTGTGTGAGAGAGAGAGAGAGAGAGAATATATTTTCTCTTCCAAGGTGGTGAAAACATTTTTCTCCTACAGGAAAGAGAATATGATAGGTTGCTAAATCCATTTAAAGTCAAATAAATGTTTGGCAACTTGTTTAAAAATTTAAGGAATTATATGATTTTGCTTTATCTTATATCAACCTTAATTAGACTAATTAAATAATACTTATCTTAATTAAACATTTCAACTTATAATTAATAAGTGATATATTCAGTAAATTAAATAATAATTTATGTTTAGATCAAATTAAAAAATTAAAATAATATCAATTAAATATAATAAATTTATTTGATCAAATTAAATCATAAATAGTATAAATTCATTTTTTTAAAAAATACTTTTAATTAATCAATATTAAATATAATTATTCTATTGAATCAAATTAAACATTATTTAAATTGATATCTTTTAATTAATTATATTAAACATTAAGATTAAATATATATATTTTTATCCAATTAAATATTATTATTTTTCTTAAATTAATATCCTTTTAATTCATTAATCATAATTACTAAAATTAATTAGTAATGGATACCATACGTTGTAGACTTGCGGATTAAGTTATTTAGGCTAAATACTGCTTAATTCCTGCTCAAATCCTGAAATGAAGATCACAATATTAATTATGATTTTACTCTCTCTTTCTCTCTCTTTATATATATATATATATATATATAGACGCACATACAAGTGAGGCCTATTTCTTTTATGATCATGTGAGTGATTCGTTGCATTGTGGTGAACAGATAGGGAAATTGCAGGAAGGTTTGAACCCACCATCTGCCAATATGCTATATTTCCAAGGCTCCTACTTAGGCCTTGCAATTAAAACAGGAATCATCACAGGAATCCTATCTCTTACAGTGAGTTTACAACAACAACAACAAAAAAAAAACTTTTTTTTTCCTCGTGCCTTTGCCAATCACTTGCAACCGAGCTGCCCCTAACTCAAATCCTAATGTTGTTTAATAGGAAGGTATAGCTGTTGGAAGAACATTTGCATCTCTGAAAAACTACCAAGTCGACGGAAATAAGGAGATGATGGCGATTGGATTAATGAACATGGCAGGCTCCTGCACATCATGCTATGTAACCACAGGTCCAAGCCAACAAAACCATATCTATTCAGCATAAAAAAATTGGCTTTTTGTATGAATTCCTAAGATCATCTCAACCGAACGTCAAACATGCGGCTGGCATCGTTCGGTCACTCTGTCCGAACACCAAATATTCCTCTATTTGCTTGCAGGTGAACAGTCCGACGCCAATATTAGCGTTGCACTGTTCACCTACGTGATTTTTCTGTCTCAACCGGATTTGCATTAGAAATGCGCCAAAGAGGAGAAAGACGGTTACCTTCACAGAAGCCCGCAAAATGGAGTTCGATTGGAGATGAATCATAGCTTTTTTTGTGTTTCATAATATTTTTGAGTGAAAAATGAGATTTTCGGTTGGAGATGCCCTAACAAATGAGAAAGAATTTTTGCAGGTTCGTTTTCCCGATCGGCGGTGAATTACAATGCAGGATCTAAGACAGCAGTCTCTAACATAGTGATGGCATCGGTTGTTTTAATAACAATGTTGTTTCTGATGCCACTCTTCTTCTACACTCCAAATGTTATATTATCAGTGATTATCATAACTGCAGTCATTGGCCTGATCGATTTTAGTTCAGCAATGCGCTTATGGAAAGTGGATAAGCTTGATTTCGTTGCTTGTCTTTCTGCCTTCTTTGGTGTCCTCTTCATCTCAGTGCAGATAGGCCTTGCCATTGCTGTAAGCTCTCCCCTTCTGCATTACCAATTCAGTATTTGAAAATAGGAAAATTAGTAAAGTATTGAAGTTTGTTTTGTTTGTTATCTTTCAGGTGGGAATATCCATGTTAAAAATTCTGATGCATGTAACAAGGCCAAGCGTTGTAATCTTGGGCAAAATACCAGGAACTATGAGCTATAGAAGTTTAGGACAATACAGAGATGCTGCAAGAATTCCTTCTTTCATCATTCTTGGCATTGAGTCTCCTATCTATTTTTCCAACTCAATGTACCTACAAGAAAGGTTGGAAAATTTTCCCGAGCTCAATTGCTACTGCTTCTCTAGATGAAAAAAAAAATACAAAATCATGCTTAATAATATTCAACTTTCCTCAGAATTTTGAGGTGGGTTAGAGAAGAAGAAGAAAGAGCAGAAAAAATGATGGAGAGCAACATAAAATGCATAGTTTTGGATATATCTGGTAAGTTACACATCAACATACAAAAAATGCTAAAATTTTCATTAAACTGATTTCTTCTTGTAATTGTTTCAGCTGTTACAGCAATAGACGCAAGTGGAATTGATGCTCTTCTGGAACTTAGAAAAGCTCTCAACAACAGATCAATTCAAGTAAGAGAATTGAACATTGCAGCTTGATTCTGAAAAAAACTATGTGATGAAATTGAAGATGGAACAAATACTAATTCTTCTGCTCATTGAATTCTGTAGCTTGTGATTGCAAATCCTGTAGCCGGCGTAGCGGAGAAACTCTATCTATCAAATGCCTGGGAGAAGCTTGGATCTGAGTGCATTTATATGCGTGTTTGTGAGGCAGTTGTTGCAGTCTCCAGCATGTTGAAAGGCCAACAGGGCCAGACATAACCAAATGAAGCTTTCATAATGAGGATTAATCCAAATTTTCTTGTATGTTAGAGAAACAAGCTACTGTTAAGTAGTTTAAGGAGATCGACTAATGTCAAGTTGAATTCAGAGAGCTATTCCAAGAAGAGGTTTAGGATATGAGCTGTAAAAATGAAGTCCATTACGTATCCTTCAGAAATCAGTAAAGAGCCTTATTCAAAATTTTTTTGACTTTTTACTAAGTTTACAGCATTGGATCAACTACATTATCTTGATTCAAGCAGGAGTTGAAAAACGTAAAAGAATCCAGTCCTTGTGGCTTCTAGCCCAAAAGCTTAAATGGTTCCACTCAGTATTTCTGCACTAAAATTTCTTTTTATTACTCGACGTGAGGCTAAACCTAAAACTTATAAGAAAATTTGACTTTGTATGCCTCAGATAACTCAAAATTAGGTAAATACATTCATTGTTTTTTTTTTTGTTTGGAGAAATTCCGCCACTATTTAATAAGTTCGACATCGTTATCGGGGGAATGATCGCTGGTTTTAATTGTATTTATTTTTTCTGGTGGCTATAGTCACCGGTATGAGCCCTATTTCCCAGACGCACTCCTTTCTCATTTCAATACGTCTTCAATTTATTCCGTCCCAGAGAACGTCGATAGTCTCTCTCGTCATCGTAGCTCCAGCTAGCCGACCTTCCGCATATTCTTGGATTGACTGTCTCCAACATCAAATTCCATTGGTCAGTGTTGTATATCCAGAGCACCAGCAATAATGTTTGACTCTACTGGATGATATTGCATACCAAAATTATAACTATTAATGAGTTATTTGATCATCTTTACTTCAAATTTTATTTATTTTGAGTAAGAATATATTTTTGAACTATCATATCTTTTAGTGTTTATAGTACTATATGTAAATGATTGATATTTACATCTTAACTCTTTGAATAAATGAGGATATCATATATAAATACAATCATAAATCTATAAAAAAAATTATTTATAATTTGTTTTCATGATATCTATGAATATAATAGATCCATTTCCTAATTTTAAAAGTTTTATTATAAATTCATAAAAAAATAAAAAATAATCATCAATAAATGAAAGAATTAGGGGTTAGTTGCCCAATCATAAAACTTAGTCCACATAATTCCCTATAATATTTTTCTTTAGCATTATTGATTAATTGCAGTGAAACTTATGGTAAATCCATAACTTTGTTCCAAATGACAATAAATATATATACTATTTTTTTACATTTATTAGAACAAAAATTTTAAATAAATGTCACATATTCAATTTCACTATATTTTTCCTATAAATATTTATTAAATAGCAAATATGAGTAATCAACATAACATAGTGGCTAAATTATAGTAATTTAAAGGAACAAACAAATAATATTTATGCAAGTTTCCATAAATAAAACCATACAAAATCATGGAATAGTTGCATCATTACAAATTATGAGTGTAAAAAGAAATTGAAACATTATGTTGTATATTAATAGCATGAAAGTAGGAAAATAAACATATCATTTTATATCTTATTTTTATTTTGGTGCAACTATTATACGAGCACCATGTACAATGTTTCATTTAAGGTTTTGTTTGGAACAATCTTTTTATTATTTTCTAAAGCAGTTTTTTTCTTGAACTAGAGATTTTGTGTTAAAAAACTGCTTTAAAAAATAGTAAGAAAGTTGTCCCAAACAAAACCTAAATCTCTCTCCCGTACTCTCTCTCTCTCTTGATTATGCACTTTGTTTATGTATCAATAAAGGCTCTTTACAATAACAGAATATAGAATTGTGAATATTTAATTTCACATAATTAATGACTAATATTGTAGTAAGAGTAGCATCAAGTTATTTATAATTTATATTTATACTTTGATTATCACATAATCATTGAAGTCATGGAATTACATCACAGAATTGGGAAAATATGTAAATATAGGCTTAACCATGTGGAAATAGAATTGTGAGCTATAAGCAAGACTAAGGCTTCGTTTGTGACAACTTTCTTACTGTTTTCTAAAATAGCTTTTCAGTATAAAAATTTTTTGACCTAGAAATTTTTGTACTAGAAAACTGATTTAAAAAGCATTAAGGAAGCCGCCCCAAACGAAGCCTAAGGCCGGCTTGGTTTGGGATAACTTAATACCACTGTTTTTTTTCTAATTTTAAGAGATTTTGTATTAAAAAGAAGCTTTACAAAACAGTTAAAAAGCCGTCCCAAATGAAGCCTAAGTCCAATAATGAATAGAAGCTTTGATTACATATTTTGGTTATGCTTCAAGGTGAATTTCCTTTCAAAACCAACACTAGTAGGGGGTCAAGCAGCTACTATGTTTGCGGTGCTCCGACAATTTTAATGGTCTCTTTCACTTGTAGAATGAAAATCTATTTATAAATTTTTTTAGTCATGACATTTTAGTTATTTTTATCAAATTCTCAACACTCCTTTAAATAATTAGAAGATCCCTATAATCATTTGATATTTTCAAAACATTTAAGTATCTTAATGACTTCAGAATCAAGCAAGCTTAAGCAATTTAGATTTGCCTCATCGAGATATTTTCAAAGCATTTGATAGTAAATTTACTAAAAATGTAGAGCTTAGATGATTTCAAAATCAATTATAGAAGTTTCTAATTTAAATACTTATGTTATAATCCCTATTTCATCAGATGAATTTCTTGATGATGATGTATAAAGAGACTTTGCATTGCTCACATCACCAATCAAATTTCTGATGATGAACATCTATTAAGCATCTTTGCAAGCTTACTTTCACAAAAAGTAGATTCTCTTATACTAAAGCTTTGTTTGGGATGGCTTTCTTACTGCTTAAAAAAGCAGATTCTCAGCACAAAATATTCAATGAAAACAACGAAAAACAAATGGCCAAAAGTTGACTCAAATGAAATCTAACACTTCGTTCGGGACGGCTTTCTTCCCGCTTCTTAAATAGCTTTATAGTATAAAAGTTAAATTTTTTTACTAAAAAGCTGCTTTAAAAAGCAGTAAAAAAGCCGTTCCAAAAGAAGCCTAAGTTTACACCGCTGCAATAATTCTACTTTATTTGAATATATTTGTTGGTTTAATTAGTTTTTGTTTCTCCTTCCAAAGCTCAAATAAAAATAAAAGAAGCATTACAATCAAGTATTGAAATCTGAAAACTACAGTAAAATAATCTCTACTGTTTGGGATAACGAAACTGCTTTTTCCCAACCTGCTGCAAGATATATATTACCTATGATTAAATGTTAATATTTTCGATCTATATGGGGAAATTATTGGGTTCGGACACCAGACACAGCTTACGTTCGGAACTTTGCAGTACCGAGCAGTAATGAGCTCGGTACTGTGAAGTATTGAGTATCTGTTCATGATATAAATTGTTAAGAAATCGGAGCCCTCTGTTCCGTCGCTGATTAAGTCTGTTCCTTCTTCTCTATCGATTCCTATTATTCCAGTTATTTCTTCTATCCCCAATGTTGGTGTGGATGGTAGTGATAATATTGTTGTTATTCTGGATAATTGTGCTGTTTGTCCGGTTGGTGGTGAGTTAAATAATGAGTTTGAGACTAATGAGGCTAATGATGTTGTTTCCCCTTCTGTTTTGGCTCCGTCACTACTGGAAGTTTCTGGTGTTGTGGGCCAAATGGGGCTTGCGGTGGTTGGCAGCCCTGTTTTAGTGGTTTCTGATCAGTTGGTTCACTCATCTCCTAAATGCATCGCGGATCATCAAAATAAGCAAGAATACTATGTCAATAAATTGCTAATTTCCAAAGTTATTGGTTGGATGACATAAAATAAAATGATAATATTTAATTAACAATAAAAAAATTAATAAGATAAGTATAATAAATCAGAAACTGAAAAGAATATCTGAGTCAATTTATATCAGGTTGGAGAAATTTTTTGCTGGATGAAAAATGAAATATTCCAACTCAAATTTATTGCAAAGGTAAATCCGACAAAGAAAAGGCTATGTGATTTTATTTTTATTGTAAAGGTATTTATAGTAATTTTAGATTTTGGATAATCAATTTTTTTGTAAGATGTTCTAATAAATTATGTGCCCTCCTAATAGCTATTATTTTTTTTTTTTTGTAGTGGGAGAGTGATAAGGGTATTATTTTTTATTTTATTTTAAATTTTAAATATTATATGAATAATTATTGAAATTTAAGTGTTAAATATATAAATATGATAATTTGGAATGCCATGCAATTAAATTCCCTAATAGATTAATATAAAATCAGATAATTATAAAATAAAATTATAAGTCTTTTGTACAAATAAACTTCCAGATTTTCATTACTATGAGAAAACTTAGAAGATATTAACCAAACAAAGCTTCTTCAGGTTTTGTATAAGCTTTTAGTTAAAGGTTTTATTTGGGATAATTTTTTTACTGATTTCTGAAGCATCTTTTTTCTACAGAAATTTTTTTACTAAAAAATTCGTTTAGAAAATAGTAAGAAAACTGTTGTAGACATTAAATTATTTTTAATATGGGGTTAACCAACACAAGTTTTTTCCCAAATGGAAGAATCACCCAATTGTGGAAGAAGTTTGGTTGCCAATGAGTCGAAGCTCTTACCATATGACCAAGGTCGGTTGCCGCCCTTTTTAAACATTCAATATGATACTTTATAGACATGTTATTTCAATAACATATTATACTATAATATGGATTCATGTCATGATGATTCGATAAGTTTTATACTGACTATCGACTACCTAACGTAATCCTCCATTTTTCTCATCCAGGATTTGAGACCTGACAACACCATTGTTAAAAACATGATCTCTTATATGCCCTCAAAGTTAAAAATTATATTCTTATCAATCAAATTATTAAGGATTTTGATACCATACACACATTGCAATTTCTCAATAACAAAAAATACATTACTCATGCAATTTTATAATTGTACAAATTACATCACCATTTGACAAAGAAGTGATGAGAGATAAAAATAAGATAAGGCATCACATAGAGAAGGCAACATGACAAAAAATAGTGGTTGAAACATCATGGCATCCAATGTCTCACCTAAAAACTTGTTCTTCTTGTCATCATTGCTGATTTGCTATTCTAACCCTTGGCCAGTATATGATAGATGCTTTAATTTTCACTATTATAATTTGAATCATATTCATATTTTATAAAATTAAATTTTATATGATTGTTCTTAAAATGTAATTAAAATAATATGTTTAAACAAAATTTATTATCATATGTGTGAACATTAATGATGAATTGAAGTTCACATTGGGTATATAGTGGACTACCGTGATTCAATCCCTGACTCGTATGAGTCAGGTTATCAAATGATATTTTAATTTGAACTGAAATCGCTTAGAGCCTTATATCAAAAATAAAACGAATATGTTATTGAAATATTTGGCAGAAATTTAGAAGGAAATTGAGGTCCTCGTGATCTTGAGGTCCTCGTGATCTTGATGATAACAATCATTTTGTTTTTGATAAAACTATCTAATTTTATTGAGAAATTGAACTTCACTCACATGTCGTAGTTGTGTCCCACTAAATAAACAAGTTCAAACTAACTTTCCGAGAAAAAAATGTATTTGATAGTTTATGAAATTCTTCACTAATAAGCAATGATATAAAAAGGTTTTCATTGTAGAAGGATCAACAATCAAGAGCTTAATTTGTGCTTTAGAAAAAAAAAAAAAAACTTAACTAAAATTAGCATATGATTACAC